CCATCCCTCCCCCTGGTCCGCCTCAGTTTCACCTCCCTCCTGAACTTTTATGTTTTCTGGTGGAGCGTCTGGTATCCGCTCCGTAGAGGGGGGGGGGGAATGTCACAGTGTCTGGTTGTGGTGCCCTGGACTGGCCACTTGAGGACGCTCTCCCGTTTCTGTTATGTTTTGAACTCCATTTCCCATAGTCCCTTGCCTGTCATTTCTGTTCCGGTCATGATCACCTGTTAGTCATTTCAGATCATGATCACCTGTTGGTCATTTACTCATCATCCCACCTATATATAAATACACCATGCTCACTCTGTCTGTCGTTGCTGCAGTATTGTATTTGTTATCTGATGTTTAAGTTTAGACCGTGTTATCTGTTCCCTGTCTTTTGGATTACCTTTTGCCTCGTTTTTGTTACTTTAATAAACTGCACTTGGATCTTAACTTGTTTTCTCCTGGCATTCCGTGACGCATTATATTTTACTTTACCTGTTAGTGATGTCTTAATTATTTAATGTATGTTTAAATAAATCTGTTATGAAATGAGTTATGAGAGGCACTGTGTAAATGAATACATTTCAACAACAAATACAATTTTAATAATTCAGAAGTTAATTTAAAAACTGCATTGTGCAATTTACATGTTTTGCATACATTTAAGTTGTTGATGATTATATTTACAAATTAAATTTAAGCTTGTGCTCTGTTAATTGTAACCTTACAGTAATGTAAAAGGGCTCCCTATAGTTTAGCGCATCACTAAGGTAGATTTTTATCCCGAAGGAAATTTTTATTATAATTAAATTTATTTAAAGAGAAATTTGTTCAATAAACCACTGTTTAATTAAAAAAAAGCAATTTTTGTTTAATTTTCGCCCTGCTGTACCGAAACCGTACTAAACCGTGACATCCAAACCGAAGTACGTACTGAACCGTCATGTTTGTGTCCCGTTACACCCCTAGTGGTTAGTGTTGGAGTAAAAAATTTTTAACATGTTACATACTCACAAAATATGAATAAAACTGTATTAATAGTGAGACTTGTCTTAGCAAACATCCCTAATGAACAGAATAGTAACATTTATTATTTGAAAATGTAAATCTTGTATATGGTATACATGCAAAATCAATAAAAATTACCAATAATTATCTTCATGTTAAACTATTTTCCCCCCAAAAATAACACTAAAACAAAATCAATCATATTAAAATGATCAAAGTCAATTTATGCCTAGATTATAATGTAGAGTATTAAAATAGTTATTTTTAAGGATTAAATTTAAGTGAGCATTAGATAACGCCAAAATAAAAAAAATCTCATTCTAGAGTCAATCTGATTGGACTTAAATCTGTGGCGCACGATGAATAATTAATATTTCAGTCAGTTTTTAACGGTTAAAAGCAACATTTCAGAGGAAATTAGCATACAGATTAGCCTCAAAGCTAACACACATGGACTAAAATCAACCAAACTCATATTCTGATTACATAAGGTCTTCAAAAGTAACATTCCCCAACAATAGTGATGGTTGTGTACTGTATGTATGTCCATATGCGAAGGACGTTTGTGTCTGTGTTTGATTTCCTCTCCGAGCTCCCTAATCCAGCAAAATTTTATATTTCACACTGGCGTAGACCTGAAGCTCCTCCAAGGCACTGTCTGAGTGTGTGTGACTGCAAAACGGCACAAGTAGGACAAGGAGTCTAGAGGGAGCATGAAGGGTGGAAGAGAGCAGAAAGGAGAGGAAAGGAGCAGAAAGGATCATTTCTACAACTACCAACAACAATAATACAATAAAACGGCATCATGGGAGACGCATTGACTATATTCTGAACTCTGCACTGTGGGTCCCTCTGAATGTACGAGATATTTCATTGCAGATGCATGTGTGTGTGAATAATGCTGCCGCAGTCACACTCCCACTAGGCTGGACTGTAGAGTTACAGGGTTCAGAAAGCACCTCTGTGATTAATGGACACGTGCCCTGCTGTGGATGACACACAAAGCCAATAAATACATTGTCCGTAAAAGCTCTTAACCCCTGGATGTCCCTAACGCACTATCAACCAATAAAATGACAGATTCACACCGCAACCTCTGCAGTAGTGTGGGCACAAACAGAGATTGAGAAAGACTGACCAGTTGGAAGCTCTGTTTGAGTGTGAATAGCACATTAGAGCTGATCAAACATTGACCTGCTGCAAGTGTGTGTGTGTGTGTTTACCTGTAGCCATTTTCCCATCCTGTGCAGCAGGCCCGTCTGGTATGACACTTTTGACCTGTAAGAACTCATCTGGTTCGTCACCACCGATGATAGTGAAGCCAAATCCCATGTTGCTTTTCTGTAGGGCTGTAGACAGAAAGCTGCCCTTCAGCTGCGTGGGGTCCCGCGTGAACAGAGGCTTCTCTGCCAGGGTGAAGAAATGCAGATAGAAACATGAGTTTGTAATCAACCAGAAGATATCCAGAAACTAATGGTTATTTTGTAAAAGCCACTCCAAACCCATCAAAAGCAGCAGATCACATCACACTGGGGAATTGTGGGTAGATGGCCAAGCGCTCTGCTTACAGCCAAACATACAAGAGCAGAGTGGGACATGATGGCTTGTTTTTTGCTCAAACCTCACTTTTGGCTCTTTAAACGTACTCCAATGTTACACTCAACAGTGTTTAGCCTCATCCAGGGCCGTCTCTCAAGCCATCCAAGACTTAAGCAAAAAAAAGCCAGGAGAAGAACCAGCACAGGCAGAGCGGTTCTTCTGCTCTCTCAGAGTGGAGAAAGCAGTCTCAAAAACCATTCTGGAGAAGCCGTTTTGCTGAAACCACACACAAGGACCTTTGTATTGAAGAGCTGATTCTTCGAAACTGAAGAGATGTCTACTTCAGTACACAGTATGGAGTTACAAGATGCCAGCCATAGTCACTCCATCTCACTTTCCTAGTTGAGAGGTTCTTAAGTTTTTTTTTTTTAACCACCATCTAGGTCTAGTCCTTTAGCAGTTTCTGCCATGCGTTTGTTAGGGACAATAGCTGGTCCAGATACCCTGCTAAAAGACCAGCATGCATTTCCATGCTGATCCATGTTTGTTTGGTTCTGGTCTAGCTGGTGGACAAGCACCAGCAAAACATCTGGTACAACTGGTTGACCAAAGCTTCCATGTTGTTAATATACATAATGGGGACGCGCAAAGTTGGCACTTCGCAGGTTGTTTAGATGGTCTTACAGTCAACATAAAATGGCATTCACAAACCATTTTACCTCTTACTTTGTAAACAAAATGAGAGCAGAACTGGATTTTGTCTACCTGGAGCTGATTGGATCTTGAAAAGAGGTGTTACATGCTAAACTAGAGCCATGTGGTTGGAGAGAAGTGTTAGCAGAGATGGTTTTGGGGTACTAACAGTCAGTAAGCATAGATCTGTGTATACAGTAGTGCTTTCAAAATATATGACATAAACCCCAAATTATGAATAGAACATTATAGTAAACTTAATTCTAATAGAATTGCAATCTTAACTTTGTTAAAAGGCAGTGTTAAATATTAAAGCTAAAACTGAATGCTAAAGAAAAAAAATCCAACAAGTCGACCCTCACTAATCAACTAGTTGGATGTTGTTAGTTACTTGGCGACCATCCCCTACTAGATAAGTAACCTTGTGGAATCCATAGGCATATTTTATAAACCAGCATCCCAAACATATGATTGTGACCAGTTACACTGGTCTGTTCAGCAGGGTAGGTGGACTCATGAGTATCCTGGAAGCGCAGGCAAAAAGTAAAAAACAAATCAAAAAAAAAAAATAAAAAACAGCCAACGAAAAGTCTTCACTGGTTTAGAAACTGAGAGATTGTTCCTTAGAGGACTATGCAAAAACAGGCCAGGCAAATACACTCCTGCTGTAGTTCCTCTCTTGCACAAGGGGCCACCGGTCTAGGGACGTACCATGCAGTCCAAACACACCGGCCCGGTACAGGGGGGCCTCGGACAGGTCAGTGAGACTATGAGAGCGCTCAGGAGCGGGACCCACGTATGCCAGTCTGGCCCTGGGTAAGGTGGCAGAGGAGGGGCTCTCCTCCACTGTTACAGAAAAGAAAAAACCCTCAACTCACACAGGAAATCAAGAAATGACATTGAAGGATACAATGTAGGCCTACTATGGACATAGAAGAGTTACATTTCTACAAGAGTTCTTGGGTGATTTTGCCAACTCGAACATCCTTGTTGAACCTGGAACAACATTCCCAACAATCTGATTTTAAAATTAGGTTTAGGGCTAGGCCTAAGGCTGTGGTTGGAGCCTCAATTCACACAGGAAATCGATGAATAGCATTAAAGGATACAAAGTTGGCCTAATATGGACATAAAATAGTTAGATTTCAATAGGAAATTTATGGTGATTTTGCCAAGTCAAACATTCTTGTTGGTCCTGGAACAATGTTCCTAAAAATCTGATTTTAGGGTTAAGGATAGGGGTGAAGCTTCAAAAACATTACCATCCTGTCATTTTCCCTTTGGTTATAGGGGTAGTTCTGGTTAGGGTTGGGTTTAGGAATAGGGTTAGGACCGGTTCCAGGGCAAACAAAGGACATTGAGCTAGGAACTTGGCAAATCTTACTTGGCAAATTGCGGTTGTCACAAGGTTTGATCTACTAATGAAGGACAAAGCTTTTCTGTAGATTAAAGTAGTACACTCTGAATTGGTCTAAATTTAACATCTGAGCATCTGAGAGACTGAACATCCAGATTAAGCAAATGCTTTCTCAGTCCTATATGGTCCAGTTATGCTTAAATCTCAAGCTACTGAAACTCTCTTTTGTGGACACAAGATTAGAAACTACATGGCCAACACTATGTGGATACCCCCTTTAAATTAACAACTTTGACTAGGGGTCTAATGAAAACAAATCTTAATTCTACAAAATACAGTAACAGTATAGTAGTTCCAATTTTGTGAAGGGTCATTTTCTGCTCCAGCATGACTATTTAGGTCCATATATACATGATTCTCTTATGGCAGAATTTGACTGGCCTGCACAAAGACCAAACCTGATCTTCTATTGAACACCTTTGGGATGAATTGGGCCACAGACACTTACTGATGCTATTGTGTCTAAATGGGAGCAAATCCCTACAGACTTGATTCAACATCTAGTGGAAAGCCTTCCCAAAAGAGTGAGAGCTGTAAGGGAGGATCAAATACTTGTTAATGGCTATGACATTAAATGTGTATCAGTCACCTATGTGGTGTTCAGATGCCCGCATGTAATACTTTGGCCACATAGTGTAGGTACGTTGGAGGTTTTCAGTACAGCATGCTCTCTCTGAAAGATGTGACTGAAAAAAGGTAGAGAATGTTCTTCTTGTTTACACCATTCTGGCTGAACATGCTCTGCCTCTTACCTTTATGTGGGTAACAGCATGACCATGCTGAATGGATTAACTTAAACAGGAAATATTGCAAGAAATGCTTCTAACCATAATCAGTCCAAGGTCATATTATGAAAGGAGACACATGCTCAATGGATAACTGAGTCTCAAGAAAACAGGAAGCATTCAGGCTTAGCTCGAATAGACTGTACAGGTAGATTTAGAGGATTAGTTTATGCAAAAAAAGAAAATTCTGTCATTATTTACTCCCCCTTATGTCCATCCAAACCTGAATGACTGACTTTCTTTCATGGAACAAAAAAGGAGAAATTTTGAGTAATGTACTGGCTGTTTTTTCCCATACATTTACAGTGAATGGAGATAATAATGCTTTCAAAATTCAAAAAAGATGCAACAGTACTGTAAAAGTATAAGAGTAGTCCATATGACTTGCGTTTCTTTTACAAACAAGAAGACTTATTTGGCACAGCCATGAAAGTTCTTGAGAGAATCAGTTAAGTCCAGTCTATAACTAAATGTTTCATTTGAGTTGAATATTGCCAATAAATAAGATGACCAGGTTAAAAGAAGCAGTCAGAATGATTTGCTAACAAATTAGACTGATTTGGTTATCAACTTCAGTTCTGACTCAGTGAGTCAGTGGTTATATGGTTTGATGCTTTACTTTCAGTTAACATTCATTGTAAGTGCATGGAAAAAAAGGCAAGTTCTTCAACATTTCTCATTTTGTTTTCCAAGAAAGTAATTTAGGTTTGGAAAAACATGAGCGCAAGTAAATATTGACAGAGTTTTCATTTTGGGTGAAGTAAAATGAATAATTCCAAAGGTAAGAAAGTAATATTCTGTAAGAAAGTAATATTCTGAAAAATAAGTTCACACACGGTGCACTTCCAAAGACAACGTCTGAGCTTAGTTGTGTTACTATAGAGACAGACACTGAGCTCACATGAGAAATATAATAATGGTCATGAATATCAAACCCCAATCAAATTTTCAGCAGATTTGATGTTAAACATGTCATTGCATGGAGAGCAGATAAAGTGTTATTAAGATGTCATTGGTATGCCTAAGCTATAGGGTGGTTGGGAACACCATGATGGTTTAACCAGATTTGCATTAGTGCCACACTTCAAAATTCAACTGTTCATTTTTGGATATCAATATTTGGATGTCAATCTTGATAACAATAATACTTTACCTCTGTAGACTGTAGGTAGGGGGAGAGAGGACAAGCCCTGACTCTGCATCTGCTGCTGCTGTTGCAATCTTCTCTTGGCCTCTAGAACTGGATTCTCAAACTGAGTCCTTCGGTTTATGTGACTGCAATAAGAAAACCAGAAACAGAGACTCATTTAAGTGTATTTCTTGAGTGACGACTTGATAGGTCATGCTTATCCAGTATATAAGCAATTTAGCTAGCTGCCTAGCTGTCTACTGCCTACACAAGTAGCTTTTTAAAGGGTTAGTTCACCCAAAAATGAAAATTAGGCTGCGTTTTACTCACCCCCGAGGCATCCTAGGTGTATATGACTTTCTTCTTTCAGACGAATCCAGTCGGAGTTATATAAAAAATTGTCTTTGATCTTTCAAGCTGTTTAATGCCACTCAGCGGGTGTTGCATTGCTTCAGTCCAAAAGACCTTAAAGGTTGTGGTTAGAACACTTGGTTGAGTGAGTGCATCAGACGAGACGATGAAGAAGAAGAAGAGCTGTTGCAGAGTTAGTGCGTCAGAGTGCGCGACCGCCTGAAACGCTGTTTTTTTTCACCTCCGTGCCAAACGTCTTTGTTTGGGCTTCCGAAAGCGGATGAGGGTCAGGAAACAGTGGTTGCAATTTATTTTTTAACTCTGTTCCTGAGCATTATAACCCCAATTTGCTATTGTGTGCTGCGCATTTTACTGAGGACAGCTTCCACAACATGAGGGAGTACAGTGCCGGATTCGCCAAAAAGCTTTTGTTGAAAGACGGAGCAAGGAGCGTGGCAGTACTGAAACACCGTCTAAGCTGTTCGCCAATCACAACGCACTGGGACAGCTAACCAATCACAACACATTTTGTTTTTCGGAAGGTGGACCTTCATCAAAGCCGGGACTAATCGAGCTGTTTGTGCCAGGCTGGGGAGAAAGATATTGTAATAATGTAAATTATGTGAAAAATAATGCGTTTTTCAAACCACCAAGCATGAGAGCATGTTCTAGTACACCCCCAAAACAAAATCAAGACTTTGTAAAAGAGCATAATAGGACCCCTTTAAATAAAATTCGCCTATCCATAAAAAAAGTGTCTCAGACAGCTCCGGGGAGTGAACAAAGGCCTCCTGTAGCGAATCGATGCGTTTTTGTAAGAAAAATATCCATATTCAAAACGTAATAACCACTTTAATGTAGCTTGCGCCAACAGTTGTACACAGAAGCAGTTCCGGGAGCATGACGTATGGAGGTCAGCATTACGCATGCGCCGGTGAGTCTCGTGAAAACCAACGTTTGTTTACAGGATCAAAGGAAGCAAAGTTTTCTTACTTTAGCAAAGGAAAACCAGTCTCCTCTTGGCTTATATCGAAATCCTCCAACATTCTTCACAAATACTCGTTTTGTACTTCTAATTCTTGACTGTTGTTTTGATCTCTTCCCTGCGCTTCCGCGTTCGTCACTTCTGAGCGGCGTATGTGCAAAGCCGACCTCATACGTCATTCCCCCGGAACTGCTTCTGTTTACAACAGTGAGTGCAAGCTAGATTCAAGTGATTATTACGTTTTGAATATGGATATTTTTCTTACAAAAACGCATCGATTCACTACAGACGGCCTTTGTTCACCCCCCCGGAGCCGTGTGAGACACTTTTTTATGGATGGTCTATTTTTATTTAAGTTCTTTTGGACTGAAGCAATACAACACCCACTGAGTGGCATTTGGGAAGTCGTGGCCTAATGGTTAGAGAGTCAGACTCGTAACCCAAAGGTTGCGGGTTTGAGTCTCGTACCGGCAGGGATTGTAGGGGGGGGGAGTGAATGTACAGCGCTCTCTTCCACCTTCAATACCACGACTGAGGTGCCCTTGAGCAAGGCACCGAATCCCCAACTGCTCCCTGGGCGCCGCAGCATAAATGGCTGCCCACTGCTCCGGGTGTGTGTTCATGGTGTGTGTGTTCACTGCTGTGTGTGCGCACTTTGGATGGGTTAAATGCAGAGCACAAATTCCGAGTATGGGTCACCATACTTGGCCACATGTCACTTCACTTCACTTAAACAGCTTATATAACTCCGACTGAATTCGTCTGAAAGAAGAAAGTCATATACACCTAGGATGTCTCGGGGGTGAGTAAAACGCAGCCTAATTTTAATTTTTAGGTGAACTAACCCTTTAACTGAAGTAACTGATCTGCAACACTCTACATAGGCAGCATCTATGAACTCCAAATAGACAATGATTATCATGTAAAGTGCATGGGAGAGTCGACTCGACAAATTATTCCAATATGCCCATCACTGACTGCACAATTTTATGAGAAATCTGTCAAATTCAATTGCCCAATATCTGCAGACTGGCTCTGACTTTCGGCAACTAGTGTTGGCATCATCCAGATTGAAAACTGGGGCAAAAGTCTGGGCAGATGTCGTGTAGTGTATCCCGACTAACGATATGCTAATGATACTCTAACTCAAATGATTTTGGTTCAGGACCAAGATTTTACACGGGACACCAAGTGGTGAGAGATAACTCTACTAAAATTGTTTGTCTTACAGATAAATAAATAAATCAAGCATGTAAATGTATTAAAATTACAATGCACTGCATCAACAACGTTAACATAGAAACCTAACTATTTTGTAAATGCATACACAACAATAGTGTAATTCACCAGCAAAATACAATTAATAAACACTAAGATAAATATTTTAAATAAATTGATATATTTCCATATTTATCTTGCTATGTTATATTTTATTAACATTTATCATAATATTAGATTATTAATTTGCACCCAAATACTATAGAGTGATTAGATGCAGTCAAAAAAAGTATCACAAAAAGCAAATATTGTGTCATGAATATTTATATGAACTTTTTTTGTAGTACTTTTTTAATATATATATTTTTTTATAACTGAGCTTGCATATGCACTCTGTGATATTTCATTAACATTAACAGTATCTTGTATATATGATGTTGGTCTCTTGCTATATGCACTTTGAAAACTTCTGCAAACCCTGCAGTATCATTTCTCATGGTTGGCCAGAGCAAATTATCTTGCCCTCCCAACAATCCACCACCCAAAAAACAAAAATTGACATGAGACATTAATCTTATGTACTATAGATGAAAGCATAAGTGTTGATTTTAATAAACGATACAAATCATCTAAGGCTGTGGTCATTGAGTGAAACATAAGCCTAGTTAGTCCTCATTTTTGTTAAAAGAGTGATGTAAGAATGAGATCAGACAGTAATGAGACCATCCTCTGATCTGGAAGAAAAATAACACTTGCTGTCAGAGTTAATACAATCTGTTTTAAAAGGCGCAGCTGAAAACCATGCCATTTGAAAGTACAAAGCCAATTAGGCTCCATTAAAAGGCATTCCTTTGAAAAGAGGTAATGTTTTTTGTAAAGATGTGGCATTTGTAATTACAGCTTTGTGCCAATACTATGCAAGGTCAAATTTGAGATATTGCTTTTAGATTTCTTTTAAGGTCTAAAGTCTGAAATTGATTCAACAGATCAAAGTATAATGAGCAAATGGATTTTGTCCCTAGTACTTTATCTGAGATCAGTTCCATACTTTCTTATAGCACATTAGGCCAAGGTTTGGCAAAGTGCAAACCAGCCTTGGAAGTGGTTCTGGCATGGTCCTATTAACTAACGCCTGTAAGGATAAAGTGATGTCTGTTTAACCTGAAAATACACACACAACACAAATACAAATGATAAGCTTTATGCATAATGTTCTTGTTAAGTGTCTCCTCTAAAAAGCCACTAGACACAGATTTATAGTAAATTACAGTAATTTCACACCAGATGCAGCTTCGGATCTTCCCAGCTGTCATCTTCCACAACATAAAACCCACAGTTGTACAATTACTACTGAAGATGTGTTTTTCTCCCTTTCCATAGAAAGACAAAAGAAAACTTTACATAATATGTTTTGTAGCTTTAAAATAACAATAAATAAAATAATAAAAAATTATGTCTTACTAATAATAAATGCGCTGTAATGGAAATATAATCAAAATGAAATGTTCTCTAAGGAAATATTTAGAAGGCATGCAGACAGACTGATGGACAGACAGACAGACTGATAGATTGATAAATAGATAGATAGACAGACAGAGAGACAGACAGATGTATAGACGAATGGACAGACAGACAGAGAGACAGACAGACAGACAGATGTATAGACGAATGGACAGACAGACAGACAGACAGACAGACAGA